CGGCCAAGTGGCTCAGTTGGCTAAGAGCTCGCTCAAGAGTTTGAGCTCTGAGCAACAGCAGTTCGATTCCCAGCCCAAGCTGAGCAGCCGCTGAGCTGCCAACAGGTGGCAGATGGCTCAGCTTAAAAAGAAAAAAAAAAATGGAAACACCATTCTAAGGCTCTTCTAGATTTTCCTTATGGGCAACAGTCTGCCAAGCCCTGCTCCAGAGAGTTCTTTGGCAGGGGCACATGGGCACCGAGCTGTGCAAAGTCTAAGGCTATCTGGGCCTTGGAACCCTAATTTGGGGATTTCTTTTGGAGAATGAGATGTCCTTGCAGAGGGATCCCTATGCCAGGCAGAAAGCAGAACAACTCTGTCTCTACTCTGCTGCGTGAATGGCACCGAGCTGGACCAAACTGGCATATTTATTTAAAAAGTAGCTATTTACAGAAGTCTTAATTAAAGTGTATTTAAATCTGTGCCTATGCTGGCTTATCCTTGATTTTAAAGGCAAAATCACATACCTAGGCATTTGAAAATTTTCATTCTATAGATTAGGGCCTTAGTATTCCAAATGGTTGGTGGGAGGAAAGCTAAAGTATAAACTTACTTCCTCTACTAAAGCCAGCCACTGTCTACAGGGCGAACCCGTCTTAAGAGCTCAAGGAGCACGCCAGCTCCCTGTACTTCTGGGGTATCTACGACACAGCCTGTTTATGGCTGGGTCTTCATAAGGAACAGCGTTTGCCAGGGAGCAAGGATTTCATATCTGGAAACCAGCATTTCAGAAGCTGGCTCTTTCACAGGGACACGGACCCCCATCCCCTCTGAAACAAGACCCTCTCCATAGGAGACGCTGTACTACCAGCTCCTCCAGCCTTCTGGGTATCTGAAAGGCAAATATTCCACTGATAGTTTTTTCATTGTTAAGACTATTTCACTTTAAAGAGCAGAGAATAAAAGAATTTGCACATAAATTTGTAATCTTTTAAGTCATCAACATACAGTATCCCATGGCTTTAAGCAATTAATAAACAAAATAAATATCCAACTTTTTCCCCCCTAAGTTAAATAATGGCTTCAGAATCTGAATTCTTTATCTAACCAATGATTTTTCAAAAAGGAGCTGATGGTTCTCAAACTACAATTTGTTGCCTACTAGATGAATTTAGCTGTTCTGGAGTTAAGAAGCAGCATGTACACACACACACACATACACACACAAAAGGAAATTTACTAAAAAAAACTGTGTATGAGAATTCCCAATGGTTCCAAACTAAATGAGTAGGTGAAAGACAACTCATCTCACTTATGCCAATCCAGTTGTTCTTTTCAGATTGTTGTTTAAAATGTCAGATTTGTTTTCTTCACAATGTGCGTTTATTTCTTCTATTAAAATTCAGACCTTTCTTTTAGTGTGGATTTACAGTGGCATTGCCGACACAGCCTCAACCACAGCAATAATAAAGAGAACTTGTCAAGCTAAGGATGGGGTCTCCGAAATAAAACTGCTGCGGCAATTTTTATTTTATTTCATTATTTAATTAATTTATTTTTTTAGCTGAGTCATCCTGCCACCTGTTGGCAACTCAGCGGCAGCTCAGCTCAGGCCAGGCATCGAACCGGCAACCATATTGCTCAGAGCTTGCACTCTTGAGCGAGCTCTTAACCAACTGAGCCACTCGGCCGGCCCTGGCAACTTTTAATTAAGAGGGGGAATACCAACTTGAAGTGGGAACAAAACTGGAGCACAACTAAACAAGCAAAGATGTACCACTAAGAAATACTAAAGTGCCTGTCAGTTGGCACCAACTCGAGTTCTAATAACATTGAAAACAGTGAGACTTGATGAATTTTCCAACACATTCAAAAACATTAGTGTTCTAAGGCCACTAAAAGATGGGATAAAGAAAGTAATTACCTGTGGTCAGGAAAAGATAATGGTAATGGGGGATTTTTCTAAGTAAAATGAAATGAAACAGTAAATTCTGACATGTGTGGTTTTAAAAGAAAGAGCATTATATTTCTTCATTCTCTTTCATTAGCATTTTACACACACACACACACACACACACAGCACTCTAGTCATTATTTCACATTTTTCAGGTCTCTTCACTATCAGTTTTAAAAACAGTTACCTCCGGGTAACTATTTTTCTCTATTTTGGATATAAATGGTTTTGATTTTTTAAACCTGCAGAGAAAACATACAGTGACAGATCTGAATAAATAAAAACTAAAGATTACCCTCTTTATGGTAGAGCTTTCAAGATAGAGGAAAAAAAGCATTTTAATTCCAGTCAGTAAGTTTTTTGGTTCTGTGAAAAGTATCACTCCTTTCCTATCTCCACTGATAGACAACATCTTTGCCATTTCCCTCTAATATCAAAGTGCATTTGTTTAAAATTAAACATACCTTAAAGAAAAACCAAAAATCTTAGGAATTTTTGGCAGATCCTATGCAGCAAAAATGAAGTGATTTTCCCTTCTTCCTACTCCTCAATTTAAAGCTTTACAAAACGGGCTAAATGCAATACTTCCAGGACAGCAGAGTTTACAAATAATGGATTTTTGTTTCAAGGAACAAAAAGGGAAAGGGAAAATAAAACCAAATGGGAATAAAGAGGAGAAACCCTGAGGCGAAAATGGCTTTTCCTTTAGAAAGTTCCTGGGCTCTGACTTGGGTTCACAAGGTGCCCGCAATCTTCTGGGCTGAAAGTCCCTCCTCCAGCCAGAGGGTGGCGCCCGAGCCGCTGCGGAGTGTGCGCCTGTGGATGCGCCGCAGCCGCAGCAGGTAGAGCAGGATGGACAGCAGGACCACCAGGAAGCAGCCGGAAAACAGGTAGTGATTGTAGACGAAGGAGAAGCCCCGCCAGTGGGCATGATTGGCCCGGAAGGTCTCCTGCTGGATATCTCTGCCCACGTGGAAACAAAAATAAACAACCCTAATGAGAGGTAACAGAGAACTAACCGGGCAAGAAATGTGACGGGAAGGGAGCACATGACATGGGCTGGGGGCACCCGGGTCAGGACTCAGCTCCGGAGACAAAAACTGTAACCTCCTGTTTGAGACTCAGTTTCCTTACCTCTCAGATGTGGGATAATATGGCCTAACAGAGGGCAGTTGTGTTAACAGGTAAGGTGTGAAAGTGTCTTCACAAGTCTGTAGCAGTTACCATCATTATAATCTGGGTAGCAAAAATCAGAGAAATTTAGAACTGTGAGGGTTTCGCTAATACATGTAAGCCAATGTGGAATCCAACCACCTCTGTGATTAGTAATACCCATTACTCACAAACTTTGCAGTTAATCCAGCTACATGTATTGTGGAAGACACTCAATTAAAGGAAGCGCAGGGGTGTGTGTGTGTGTGTGTGGGGGGGGGAACAAAAAAAAATAAGACCTCATTTATCAGTGAACCAGGGTCTTATGTGGGCTCAACTGACAGCGGGGTCTGTGAGCTTGAATGGGAAAAATGTGCATCTTTACTTGACTAATCTCTGTAATGCAGGATTTATTTCTATTGAACATGAATGTGGACAACAAACCACTGTAGAATCAGTAGGACTTGTGACTTTGTTCCTAGTGAAACTCACAGACCTTTTATATCACACTGTGGTGTTTTGCAGAGGCCTCAAAATATCGGTGACACATATCACTACACTGAAATCACAGAAGGTACTAGTTCTGCTGCCAGATCTTGTTATTTCATGGGTGAATAAAGAACATAGATTACTAGACCACAAGTTTGTTTCTGTAATATTTTGATAAATATATTTCAATACAGTGGTTCCTCAGTAGCCTATGTATTAATGTTATTCATTAAAAACAATATTTCAAGAAGGGGCCCAAGGCCATAAAAGTTAAGAACTCGGAAATAAATCCTGTGCAGGGGTAAGGGTACAGACAGTTGAGAATAATCAAACCCTCTGTGCTGCATATGATGGGATGGGTAAGGTGGGAAGGGAGGCAGCACTGGGCAAAAAGGGCAAAGTCAAACTTCACTGACTACAATTCTGCCCACGGCTAGCGCTAACCGTGCCCCCGACACCCACAAACCATAGCTGCCATCACGCCTCGTCACTGCCGAAAAGAACCTTCTGATTTTTGTTGCCCAATTCACGGCCATACCTTAAGGGTAAAAAGCGGGTCCTGTAAAGGATTGCTCCAAGGGTCCACTGAACCTCCTTGTCATAAACTTGCAAGGCTGTCTTTAAATTTTTATAGCTGACAGGAAACGAAAAGCCCCTGTGAAACACTTCAAACATCCAGGCAGATTTGAAGCACTGATACCTATAAACACCAAGCACAAACAAAAGTGGGGCTGATTCACTTGTCAAATAAACTGTACCCAGAGACACACCTTCCCTTCTGCGACCAGCATGGGTGCACAGGCTTCATAGGGCCAGCACTCTGAGCAGCCAAATCAACTGTATGCATTTCAAGCTGATTTACTTGGTTTATGCCCCTTGTCCCGCAACATAAAAGTTCGCCTGCCAACATCAATCAGCTCATGCAACTTAGCCTCCATATAATTTTAATACATAGCCAAGACAGATTTTTTTTTTCTTTAGGCATTCCATCTTTGATTCATTCAGTAAATCCTGAGCAAGTTCCAGCTGCTTGGGGCCTCAGTTTCTGTATTATAAAATGAGAAGACAGCAGGGTCCTTTTTAGCTCTGACAGTCTGATTCTAAATATTTATCAGAGGCTAACTTTTGGCAAAGCAGTGGGCTAAGCAACTAATAAGATATAATAAATAATAAGATAGTCAATGTACTTAAATAACTTATGAAAGAGGATTTTAAAAAAGCAACAAGTAACCATAAACAAAGCAGAATATGATAAGCACCACACGAGAGACATAATGAGTGCTCTGGAGACTGACAGAAGGATGGAGTCTGGCTAAGTGGGCAGAGGGAGACTTGAAAGGGACAGCGTCTGACCTGACTCTGACATCTGGGCAGGATTTCAACAAGCAAAAAACGAACAGGGGAATTCCAGGTGGAAGGAACAGCAAAACTGAGCAAAAATATGTTTTGAGCAAGATGTATTTGGGCACAAATATTTGTTGTCCTGTTTGAAAGGAGCCCAGGGTAGACAAGGAGGAACAATGATTGATGAGGGCAAAGAGGCAGGCGGGGGTCAGAGTGTGGCAGGCCAGGGGCCCATACTGAATGCATGATTTCTTAAAAACGCCCTGGACTTGGCCATCCGCTACTTACTTTAGCCTGTGGAGGTCAGCATGAGAGGCATACAGTCCTCGGTCAAAGCGCTCCCGTAAGATTGACCACTTTGTTGCACAATAATCCTGAAAGAAATTTCACCCAAAAGAAATATTAGTAAAGGTTCATTAAACATTTTTAAAAGGATTTACCAAACCATCTTCAAAACAAAGAGGCAACTGACCAAATGGGGAAAGATAGGAGTATTTGTAAATATATGAGTATTAGCCCCTCTGATAAGGGGCTAATATCCAAAATTTATAAAGAACTCATACCAGTCAACAACAAAAAGACAAAACAATCCAATTAAAAAATGGGCAGAGGACCTGAACAGTCACTTCTCCCAAGAAGGCATACAAACGGCCAACAAATATATGAAAAAACGCTCAACTTCACTACCTATTAGGGAACTGCAAATCAAAACCACAATGAGCTATCACCTCACACCTGTTAGAATGGCTATCTATCATCAAGACAAATAATAACAAGTGTTGGAGAGGCTGTGGCGAAAAAGGAACCCTCACACACTGTTGGTAGGAATGTAAATTGGTACAGCTGCTATGGAAAACAGTATGGAGGTTCCTCAAAAAATTAAGAATAGAATTACCATATGACCCAGCAAGCCCTCTCCTGGGTATCTACCCAAAAACACCTGAAAACATTTATCTGTAAAGATGTACGTACTCTGATGTTCACTGCAGCATTATTAATGGTGGTCAAGATATGGAAACAACCAAAGTGTCCTTCAACAGATGACTGGATAAAGAAGATATGGTACATATACATAATGGAATAGTACTCAGCCATAATAAAAGATGAAATACTGCCATTTGAGACAACATAGATGGATCTTCAGGTTTTTATGCTAAGCAAAATAAGTCAGAGAAAGTTAAGAACCATATGACTTCACTCATATGTGGGATGTAAAACTGAAAGCAACAAAGGAACAAGTCAAACAAATGAAGAAACAAAAACTCATAGACACAGACAACAGTTTAGTGGTTACCAGTGGGTAAAGGGGGAGGGGGTAGTCATGAGGGTAAGGGAGGTCAAATATATGGTGATGGAAAGAGAACTGACTCTGGTGAGCAAACAATGTGACATATAGATGGTGTATTATGGAACTGTACACTTGAAACCTATGTAATTTTACTAACCATTGTCACCTCAATAAATTTAATTTAAAAAAAGGGTTTACCAAATCCATATGCATAATAATATACTTCCAAGTAGGAAACACAAGCTTAACTTATGTACGTGTAGCAAGAAGACAAGACACTCAGTGACTAGATTAGCAAAGACAGTGCTTGTTCTTTGCCTTAAAATTCAACCAAAGTTATCATTAAAGAGAATTTCACTGCCCACAACAAACCTCTTCAAAACTGCTTAGTTTCTCCCTCCGTGCCTACATGTGACAGGCATAAACTTTAGGAAAAGTGAAGTGGTACTTTAGCTACAATAGTTCAGGCTGAGTATCTATGTCTGTGGTTACATGGGGTGAGGTTCTGGGAACGCAAACATGATTACAAATGGCTCTGTCTTTAAGAGAAGGGAAAGAGGTGCCACCTCTTCCTGAAGTCATTTGTAACAATATTAATAACTAACATTTATTGAGCACTGTGTAAGTACTTTTTCTAAAGATAGCACTTTAATACTTAAAATGACTCCTCAACATGGCTACTATTCTAACATCTAACAGATGAAGAAACAGAGGCTCAGAGAGGCAGTGCAACTTGCAGCAAGGAACACAGAGAACAGCACTCAGCCTGGGGTGAAACGGTAAGGACAGGCATTTCAGGAGGAGGAAACACCATGAATGAAGCTGAGATGGGAAGTAGCACAGACAGGGGGGAAATGAATAGATGTCTGATCCAATTACAGTATAAGGTGCTAGCTGGAGAGATGAGGCTATAGGGTGGAGATGACATGCTAACGGATTTGAAATTCATCCTAGAAGCAAAAGGAAGCTGCTCTAGATTTTAAATAGGAAGCAGATGACCACAAGTGTGTTTAGACAGAACGATCTGGGAGCAGCTGGAAGGCGAATGATGGAGGAAGACCAGATGCAAAAGATGAACGGGGAGGCTCTGGCAATAGACAGAGGCCTGGATTAGGACAAGAGTGCATTAGACAGTAGGGAGGGCTTGAGAAATGGCTACGACATCACATACTGTGCTTGACTGATGATGTGGGGGTGTCCAGCGAGGGACGAACAAGTGACAAGAAGTGTCTAACTCCTGGGTTTCAGGGAGAGGGACTGGATGGCTAGTGACATTGCTAACTGAGACAACATAACAGGAACAGCGGGGGAAGAAAATGGTGGGTGTTTGGAGTTGTGACATCTCGCAGGCACTGGGCAGGGGTCAGGACTGCAGCCTCTTCTGGAGAGGCAGCAGCAATCTATGAACACGGATGAGAACATCCAAGAACTTAGTCAGAAGGCCAAGAATGGAAGTCTGGGATCACCAAGGTTTAAGGGTCATGAAGCGGGGAACCCTGAAAGAGCCTAAGACACTGTCAGAAAGGCAGGGAGAACAAGAGATTAGGAGTCCTGGAGTAATGTCAGCTATTCTGACAGTAATATAAAATCATCTGGAAGCCATGATGTCCAGAGTAGTTTATGGGAGTGGTGGGCAGAAGTCTACTCACAGTGGAGTTTTTACTTCTGCTGTGACTATTCCTCTCGCCCAACCAAGGGAACAGGATTCACAACGTGCTGCATGAGAACCTTCCATCCTCCACTTTTCCCTTCTGTTGACCCAGGCCTCCAAGTGTGAAAAGAGGACACGGCCTGCCACTGTCTACACCAGTCTCTCAAAAGTGTAAACAAGATGGCTTCTTTGAAGGTTACCTTTGCAGCTTTAGTAAATGCAGCAGCATTGTAGTCTCCCCCCATTCGTAACACATCCTCAGTGCAGTAATAGAATTCAGAAAAGCCATAGAATTCGCTGTTCTGGAAGTGAATCGGGGGCTGGTAGACCCCGTTAAGGGAAGTCTGCGTCTCGTTTGTCTTGTTCATGAAAGGCTGGAGAACCTCGCAACACAGATCAAAGTCTCCCGTTCCCCGCAGGTACATGGTCTGTCCGTTTTGCTGGATTTCATCTTTAATGTCCAGGGGTAGGCAGGGGTCCAGGTATGGAGTATCAGGAGCCAGACCAGTCTGCTTCCCCAGGAGCCTACAGGACAAAGAGAAACTTTATCATGAGACCGACATAAAAATGTGTTCCGAAGAAGTGACTGCAAGTCAGTGCCTCTCAAAATGTGTTCCATGGAACACGAGCCCTGCTAGGTGTTCTGTGGGAGTACAGAAGGGTTCCAGGATAATTAAGTTAGGAAAAGACACCCTTGAGCCCCTCTTGGAGATTTGTGATATACACTTTCATACAACAGGCACCTTAACAGAGTCCAGTGAAACAGCTACCCGGTCGAGTGACCCGAAGCTTTCTGTTCCCTGTACACAGCCTGGTGTCTCAGCCGCTTAGTGCTCGTGATCAGTGAGCTCTCCCCTCAGTCTCCTGTTCAAGGCAGGTAAACGCCCACCAACTGTGTTATTCCCAGCCCCATTTCTGCCACTGGTGCTTGTGATTTTAATCATATAGTATAGATGAACTATGACTGTGAAAACTTAGGAAAATATGATAAAGACAAGTTGCCAGAAAACTGCTGTCAAATAAGGTATTAGCAAGATTTAAAAAGAACTGAGAAAAATTAGTAAAAATCTAGACAGATTTGGTATCAAATTGCTTCACAAATGTCTTTAAGTCCTTGGTATTCTTTGAAGAAAGCCAAAATGACACCAACATGAGTGGGTGCAGAATATGCCAGAGAAATGACGCACGTGGCCTAAAAAACCACTTTAGTCCAGAGCAAACGATTGGCAAGGTAATACATAAGTTGAAACAAAATGCTTGAGGTTTGATTCTATTTTTATGATTCTCAGTTTTAACTGATTTTTAAAAAATTAATCAACTACTGATCCCAACTGCCGCAGATAACAGCGTTTCTATTGTACTGCAGGCTCAGAGAAGTCCCATAGAAAAACCTCAGCTTTGCTCACTGAAACGTACTATGCTTAATAGTTCCCAGTGAAATCTCCAGGCATGAAGGTCCGTCATCCAGCTTTGTATGCTCACTGTGAGGTAACTGAGGAACAGGAAAGAGCTCTGAACACTGGAGTTACGTTAGTGTTTGATACCATGAATCCCACAGGCCTAAAAAGTGTTTTATTAGGAGAGTGCCTGAGTTCAATATTAGTCACTGACAGTAAGTTAAATTTTTACTTGCCACTTAACTGACAAGTTGTTTATTCGTAAGATCAGGGCAACTCAAAATGCACTTGAATGTAATAAACTGAGGTATTTGCCACTATTAAAATGTTCAATTTAAAAAAAATCAATCATCACTACCAACGGCAAAGAGATAAATATGCATTTCAAGGTTCAATTCCTGACATATGTAAAAAGTGATGACTAACATTTATAATTATTATACAAGTAGAAGACTATTCAAATGTATACTTCATGCTACTGTTTTTAGTTGCTTGCCCTACATTTTATTAAGTACCACAAACTGTTCATTATATAAGCTTCTTTTTTTTTTTTTTTAAGATTTTTATTGGGGAATTGGGGGAAGGGGAACAGACAAGTTGCTGTCATTTTGTTCTTCAGTCTAGTTGTGGAGGACGTTGCTTCACTGGCCCAAGTTGGCATCATCATTGCGCTCTTCTTGGGTGAGGCAGATCAGTCACTGGCTTCTGGACAGCTGCTCACTGTGGCTGCTGGCCACTCACGCTGGCTGCTGGCTACATACGGTAGCCCATGGCAACCCACTGCCACAGGGGCTGCAGCCTATGGCGTCACGACCCAGCTCCAGGTTGAGCTGTTGTTCAGCATCTTAGCTGTGGAGGGCAGTGTCACTGGCCCTCATATGCGGGATCCGAACTGGGGCCCTCTGGCGTCCCAAGCCAGTTCTTAACCACTTGGCCGGCCCTATATAAGCTTCTTGACAGTAAAACCAATCAGTAAAAATTATAGTTGCAGAAGGTGTGTTTCCAAAATTCTGATTAAAAAATCATTTATAAAATATTTCTATTTTAAGACTATTGTAAAAAATAATTATACTAAAATGTGCTATATATAATACACCACTTTAAAAAAGAAATTATGGGACTACCAATCTCTTAACTATTCAATTTATGTCTAGAGCAGACCAAAAAAACAAGTTTTTTATTGCTTTTCTTATTCACATATATGAATTTCTGGAAAATGTGGTACTAAATGGCTCTGACTTGGTCTTTCTTAAAGTTCAGGCCTCCCAAGTTTAAGATTAAATTGATCAAGGAAATATATTATTATTTATCCCTGTGAATTAGGATTTTTTTCCCCTCAAAATTATTTCATCAAAACAAACAAAACAGTAATTAATAGGATATTTTACGTAACTCTAGATTTCAGGTATTTTTATTCATCCAAATGGCTTTCCTGCTTTTATGGACTAATTTCAAATAAATAATTATTATATACTTAAACTTATAAAATAAATTTAAACTGATATAGTGTTGCTTTTGTTTTATGTATTTTCTATACTACAACTCTTCATAAATGTATTTTTAAAAGTTTTAACTGCTGTTAAGTGTTTCAAACCACTAACTTTGACTTAGTCTAGATCATTTCTTTGTCTTGAATACATTTCTTCGCTATGGTCTTATCCAGTAAATAATGACACAGGCTGCTTTTCCAGAACATCACATAATTTGATTTGCTCAATAATGACAATTTGATCATCACTTACTGCAGGCTCCAGGAGGACATCTGCAGTGGCCCAGGTGTTGAGTTTCCCAAGGACTCTGCAATCAGGAATGCTTACCCAGGGCTGAAAACTACTGTAATTGCCTCACAGTGAACTTTCTAATCCCTCAGGGGAGGTGGGTCTGAGAGAGAGTGCCTCCTTTGGAGCCTGGTGGGACACAGGGCCAAAGGCGGGACCCCGGTGTCCTCTCACTTCTTCTCCCAGCTCAGCTGGCAGGAGAATAAAAAGCTAACAGTGCTGACATGCTTCTGATGACTGAGGGTTCCCTGCTTTGCTGAATGTGTTTTGTATGAGGAGAGAACTAGGTTTGAAAGTGACTGCCGAGCAGTGGAAGGTGCTTTACCTGTTCTTTTGAACTGTGTTGGCAAATATCTTGTCTTCGTATCTCTGTCGAGCAGCATTGCCACCAAACCCAAGAAATGTGGCCACATAGACCCGGTACACATGCTCAGTCCGGTGAACATCACATCCCAGGTTAAATTCAGCGAGCAGGTTCTTAGCTACTTCTTCCTGAAGACGTAAGGATAACAAACGTTAATATTTTAAGCAATAAAAAACAATCACCTTCTTTAAAAAGAAGGATCTAAAAAGATTCTCATCAGAACAGCAAAAAGTTTTGCTTTTACATTTTCTTCTAAGGGTCCTATGACAAATCTGACTTAAGAAATTTCAGCTGTGCTGCCCATCTGTGATATTGTTACAGCTTTTTGAAAAAGGAAGTTAGCAATATAGTTCATACTCTCTGATCTAATAAATCTATTTATGGAATCCTATGCTTTGGAAATAATCCTAAATAATGAAAAGTCTTTATACACAAAGATGTCCTTTGCAATTCTGGGACAAAAGCTGGATGTCATCTAAATATACAACTCCTAGGAGGGTTTAGTAAATTGTGGTAAACAATAGTTTATGGAGGAACATGTTTATATGCTGTTAAAGGACACAAAATTGCATAAACACTATGATTATAACAACCATATTTTTAAAAACAATAAATAGGAAAACAAATGAAAAGAAATACACGAAAATGCTAACAATGATGTTTTTAGATGATGCATTCATTCATGGGAAATTTTTAATCCAGATTTTTCAGTATGTTTTCCAAACTTGCTTTATATCTATTTTTTAACTTCTCTTGAAGGGAAAAACATTACTTTTTACAAAGAGTGTAATAGCTTCTGGAAGCATATTTCGATGGGAAGTAGGAAACACAGATTGTAATACTTGAATTTACAAGGCATTTTTCTAAGGAGATTAATAAATGTATCAATAACATTTACTGAGTGAATACTAGGTACCTGGCAATGCATTAGACATATTATATGCAAAATCTCATTTAGACCTCAGAGTAACACTATGTTATAGGCACTTGCATTCACATTTATAGATGAAGAAACCAGCTCAGAGAAGTGACATGCACAAGGTCACACAGCTAGTGAGGATAGGATGGTGTTGCAGCCCAGGCTTGTCCAGCACCAGTCTTTTTTAACCACTACACTATGCTGGGGGAAAGTGTAGGAAACCAGGCTTTGGTATTAACTTAAGAGGGATGGGAAGAGTGATAAAGACATGTAGCAATTCAGGAATACATCTGGAAACCCTTCTGGTGCTCTCCACACAAGGCCACCAGCCTACTAGGAAACTACAGGCAGTGACCGAGAACACTGAAGGTTTGGAGAAAAGAGCAAACTGTAAGTTCAGAGACGTGGAAGGAGTGCATATAAACCTCAGTCTTTTCGAGAAAAGTCAAAACTGAGCCATTAAAAAAAGTATTATTCCCAATTGTAACTTAATAAATCTGATGCTATTCTAATAAGTTTTATTAATACAATACCTGTTGAGAAAGTAAGTGATTGAGGAGACAATATAAACAAAAACTCAAGCATGTGGCTGACATATATACCAAAGAAAAATGCTACGTAAGTTCAGAAAACAAACCAGCTGACTTCAATGAACAAACACAAACGGCTTAGGGGAGGACTGCCTTGGTTTCCTCCCGTCTCCTGTCTCCTTGGTTGAGAAGGTGGTATACCTCAGGAAGCACAGTAAAGATGTGTTCAGACTCAGAAAACAAAACAAAAATGGATGGAGACATGTTAAATGAAACCAAATAAAAAAGAAATTTGTACAGATAATAACCTGCTGTGAGGAGGCAAAGCTTACAGTTTTGGGGACTTCGTATGCTATCTGGGTTGACACGCCTCCCATGTCAAGAATACCAGCAGTTCTTTTACGGAGGATGGCTTCGCTGCTTTCACTACCAGGAATGTTAACTTCCACAACTGCCTCATCATCTGGAAAGAGCGAGAAGCATCCATTGGAATGGAACAAAACCAGAGAACTGGGATCTTCTGAAGAATCACCTTTTTTTCACGGTACGTTTCAAGCATTTCTAGGCAAACCCAGCCTAATCCTCCTAATTAAAATCAAGATAATTGTGTGAAATAGCAGCGTCTCTTATTCTACTCTTGCACACTTAGCTGCATCACAAAACTTCGCTCCTTCCTTTCTCATCCTTTAGGTTAAATAGAAAAAGCCATAATTTCCAGTTAGCCATATTAGTTGGAAATGTGATACTTACCATCCTCAATATGCTCAAATCGTCCAAGGACAAAATTAATGCCAATCCAAGCATACACACCTATAGACATTGCACAGGGTGAAGATAAGAAGAATAGAGTTTTAAAGTATTTTGTATAAGTCTTATTAGTGCAGTCTGTGGAAACATTTCATTTATTTTACTCCCTGACAACCTGTGAAAACATCATCTGAAATAACACATTTCTACTAATGTATTCTATCTTTTCCTAGAGTTTTTCCAAGAACTCTAAACTCTAAAATTTACAGTTTCATTTCATTTACATAGGTTGAAAATAGCCCCTAGGTGCTAGTTTTCCTTAGAAATTTATAGGTTGTTTTGAAATACTGGAGTTTTTATTCTTTATGAAGTTAAATCTATCAACAGCAAGGTTTTAAAAACAAGTTAACTTTGACTTTCATTTCCTTTATCTCTCACTTTCATTCAGTTGCCACATCTCATTGTTGTTTTACAGTATTTCCTACATCGAATCTTGACCCATTTTCATTACCACCTTGATTTCAGCTGTTACAGAGATCTAATCAATCTTCCTGCCCCTACTTTTCCACTCCAACCCACTCTATTTTCTGCTACTGGACTGATCTACAGAATGAAGTCCAAACTCCACAGCCCGACAATTCCAGACCTTAACAACATTTTTTACTAAATAAATTTGACATGTAACATTCTGTAAGTATGGTGTACAATGTATTACTTTGATATTTATATATTGTAATATGATTGTCCTTATAGAGATACTTATCACATTACATAATTATAGTATAATATTATTGACTATATTCATTAAACACCTGAATTTTTAAAATCTGCTATAAGTGGACCCGCACAGTTCAAATGTCAACTGTCCTGTGCATTAGATCTCTATGGCTGATTTACTACTCATTACAACTTTGTACCCTTAAACACCATCAGTCTTATTCCCGCCCCCCCGACCCCCCTCAAGATTCTGGCAACCACCATTTTACTGTTTTTTAGGGGTTTGACTTTTTCAGATCCCACAAATAAATGACATACAGTATTTGTCTTTCTCTGTATGACTTATCTCATTTAGCATAATATGCTCAAGGTCCATCCATGTTGTTGCAAATGTCAGGATATCCTCCTTTCTCATGGCTGAATAATATTCCATTGTGTATACATACCACATCTTTTTTATCTATTCATCATTCATGAGTATTCGGGTTGTTTCCCTATCTTGGCTATTGTGAATAGTGCTATGATAAACTTAAGAGTGCATATATCATGTCAAAGCCCTGTTTTCATTTTCTTTGGGTATATACCTAGAAGTGAAGTTTCTGGGTCATATGGTAGACCCATTCTAAATTTTTTGAGGAGCCTGCATAATTTCCATAGTGATTGGACCAATTTACATTCCCACTAACAATGTATAAGGGTTTCATCACATCCTAACCAGCACCTGTTCTCTCATCTTGATGACAGCCATTCTAACAGGTATGAGGTGATAGCTCATTGTGGTTTTAATTTGCATTTTCCTGATGATTAATGATATAGAGCATCCTTTCATATGCCTGTTGGCCATTTTGATGTCCTCTTTGGAAAATGTCTGTTTTAATTCTTCTGCCCATTTTCCAACCAGATTTTTTTGTTTTAGTTGTATGACTTCTTTATACATTTTAGATATTAACCCCTAACCCAATAAACAGTTTGCAAATTTCTTCTCCCATTCTGTAGGTTTCTTTTGCTGTGCAGAAGCTTCTGGGTTTGATGTCGTCCCATTTGTTGATTTTTGTTTTTGTTTGTGCTTTTGATGTCCCCAAAATCAATGCCATGGCAAACATCAACGAGCTTTTCCTATGTTTTCCTAGGAATTTTATGGTATTAGGTCTTATGTTTAAGTCTTTGATCCACTTTGAGTTAACTTTTGTGAGTGGTATGAGACAGGGGTCCATTTTCATTTTTCTGCATGTGTTTCTCCAGTTTTCCCCGCACCACTTGTTGAAAAGACTACCTTTTCCCATTGAATGTCCTTAGGGCCCTTGTCGAGTATGAGCTGACTGAATAAGCAAGGAGTTAATCCTGTGCTCTTTATTCTGTCCTTTCTTGCCGACAGCAAATTATCTTCATTTGCCCATAAAGGTTCCATCCTTTTACCCTTCCCCTTTTATATTTTTGATGTGACCAAATATCTCTTTTTATGCGGTGATTTTGTTACCAAGTTGTAGTAGCTACAGTTATTTTTAATGCTCTTTTTTAACCTTTATGCTATACTTGTTTAATAGTACTCTAAAAAAAGTTGCAGTTTTCTAATTCTATTTATCATCTTAATCAGAGTTTTGTGTACTTCTGTCTTTTCATTTCAGCTTGAAGAGCTCCTTCTGACATTTCTCGTAAGGCAGGTCTAGTGGCTGGTGAACCCCCTCAACTTTTGTTTGTCTGGGAAAGCCTTCATTTCTCCTTCACATCTGAAGGATAACTTTGCTGGACAGAATAATCTTTTTTTTTTTTAAAGATTTTATTGGGGAACTGGGGGAGGGGAACAGCATTGGGGAATCGGAACAGACAAGTTGCTGTCCTTTTGTTCTTCAGTCTAGTTGTGGAGGACGTCACTTCACTGGCCCATGTTTGCTATTATCATTGAGATCTTCCCGGGTGAGGCAGTCGCTCGCAGGCCATTGGATGGCCGCTCACAGTGGCTCTCGGCAGCTCACGAAAGCTCACACCCACTTCGCCGGCGACTCATGGCAGCCCAGCTCCAAGTAGAGCTATTGTTCACCATCTTAGCTGTAGAGGGCACAGTGTCACTGGCCCTCATGTGGGATCCGAACCAGGGCCCTGCTGCTCAGAGCTGGCATCCCAAACCAACTCCTAATCAACGCGCCACTCAGCTGGCCCTGGACAGAGTAATCTTGACTGGCAATTTTTCTTTCTCAATACTTTGAATATGTCATTCCACTCTTTCCTGGCCTGTAAAGTTTCTGCTGAGAAATCTGCTGACAGCCTAATGGGGGTTCCTTTGTAGATTGCTGTCTTTTTTTTCCCCAGCTGCCTTTAAAATTCTTTATCATTGACTTTTGACAGTTTTAATATAATGTATCTTGGAAATCTTTTTGTGTTGAGATAACAAGGTGTTCTACAAGCTTTGTAGACTTGTATATTCAGTTCCTTCACCAGCTTTGGGAAATTCTCAGGTATTATTTATTTAAATATGGTCTCTGCTCCTTTCTCCTTCTCTTCTTTTGGAATACCCATTAATCTCATGTTGTCTCTTCCAATGGAGCTATAGTTCTTGTAGGGTTTCTTCGCCTTTTAAAAATCTTAGTTCTCTCTCCTCTTCCACCTGAAACATTTCTATATGCCTATCCTCGAGCTTGCTTATTCTCTCTTTATTTCCAATGCTTTCTAATGCACTATTTAGCTCATTTATTGAGCTCTTCAGTTCCAGAATTTCTGTGTGGTTCTTTTTTAGAATTTCAGTCTCTTCGGCAAAGTACTCCTTCTATTCATTAATTTTATTCCTGAAATCATAACATTGCCTTTCTGAGTTTTCTTGTAGCTCATTGAATTTCTTCATAACAGCTTTTACGAATTCTTTATCAGTTAGATCACAATAGCCTGTGTCTTCAGGTTCAGTTGCTAGAAAACTTTTGTTTTATTTCTGTGATACCATATTACTGTGATGTTTCACAGTGTTTGATGAAAAGTGCCATTTAAAAATTGTAATATTTCAAGGCATGGTTTTCCAAATTTTAAGATATCAGGAGTAACTTTAATAAAGTATACACAGGGGAAATGGAGGCAATTTAAAGAAATAGTTTCAAGTTGAAAACCAGTATACCAACCTTCTTGTTTCCCTGAAATTACTTCTGCATGAGAATCAGAAAACAGAAAGTCAAAGTGCACGGGGATGTCAGTCAGAAGGTCTTCCAGGATGGCTTTCTGCTGGCTGTAAGACAACCCAAAAATTTACATCATCAAAATATTATACCCTGACCTTTTGTTTTAAAAAAAAGATTTAAAAAACCACTATGGTCTGGTTTATGCTCTATGAAAACAGTACGTTTTAAAACCAAAATAATTCATTGAAAAGATTATTTTAGGAAAGAATTTTCAAGAGTTGTGGGAATATGATTCCTAGATGTGAAACCACAAATGCACGCAATCCTTAAACTAATAATATACAAAATCAGTTTTTAAAATAACTTTATAGTTCACTATTTATACTCACAAATATATTAAAGGATATTTGGTGAGTTCTGGCTAAGGGAACAGTTCTGGTGCTATTCTATATTTGAAGGAAGAATGGTTAAGGTATTCCTTTTGATGATGATCAGAAGAGGAGGAGGACAAGGGACAGGAGGGGGAGTAGGAGGAAAATAAAACGCCAACGCCACTGCCACCACCACCGCCACCGCCACCACCACCACAGGCCTGGCCTGCCCTCGTGCAGAGGATCACCTTTCAGGAAGGATTCTCATTCCAGCGGTGCAAAGAATGTAGAGAGGGGTCTCTTTGTGTTTTGCCCGTGGTACATGCTCTGCAGCAAAGTTCAAGAGCGGAGAAATATAATCACTGACTTTCTCTGGAGAGGTAGCAAATTCTGAAATGCCTACAGAAAAAGGACACTTCTGTTAACAAGCAGCGATTTTAGCTCATAACTTACGCTTTTTCAATGTGGCTAATATGAGAGAAATTCCAGCTACATACCAGTCTCCTAGTCTTTTCCTATCCCTCTGGCAATTCCTTCTGCAGCTTCTCTTCCTTAATGATAGTGGTACTGAATATTCAGTCCTATGCTCCCTTCTTCTCACTCATCAGAAATCACAGACCGGGCCGGCCGAGTGGCACATTGGTTAAGAGCTGGCTTGGGATGCCAGAGGACCCCGGTTCGGATCCCACATATGAGGGCCAGTGACACTGCCCTCTACAGCTAAGATGCTGAACAACAGCTCAACCTGGAGCTGGGCTGCCGTGAGTCGCCGGCTCCGGTGTAGGCTGCAGCCCCTGCTGCAGTGGGTTGCCATGGGCTACTGTGTGTAGCCAGCAGCCAGCGTGAGCGGCCAGCAGCCGCAGTGAGCGGCCGTCCAGAAGCTGGTGACTGATCTGCCTCACCCAGGAAGAGCGCAATGATGGTGCCAACTTGGGCCAGTGAAGCAATGTCCTCCACAACTAGACTGAAGAACAAAACGACAGCAACTTGTCTGTTCCCCTTCCCCCGATTCCCCAGCGCTGTTCCCATCCCCCAATTCCCCAAAAATCTTAAAAAAACAAAAAAACAATCACAGACCTGAGCATCTACTATATGTCAGACGCTTGGGATCCATTGCACATGAGCTCATCCCTGCCCTCAAGAAAAGTGCTGCTATTTTCCTCAGGCAAGCTTACTCACTCCCATGGCTGCCATCATCATCTATATGTCTTGAATCTCCAAATCTTATCAGTAGCCACCCAGATCTCTTCCCCAACCTACAGATCAGTATGTTGTGCCTGTCCACTGAACAAGGCCATGTGCTTGTCCTCACAGCCCCCCACAACTCAGCCTATACAAATTTGAACTCAATATCTACTACAAACCTGCTCTTACTGTTTGTTCCCTACCTCGGTGACCACCCTCACTGGCCATCTAGTAGCCCAAGCCCATATCCTGAGTAAAATCCCTCTCCCTCACCCTAACAAATGTTCTGGGTTTCATCAGTTGCCTCGCCTTGGTTCCTCTCACATGTTTTCACTTCTCATCTCTTTTCATCTGGCTAACTCCTGCTCATCCACTGAGCTACGTCCTCTACAGAAGTCTTCCCAAACAGAGCCCTGAAGATCAGCTCTTATTACATTCTCTGGTTACCCTTATCTCTAATCGTAGCACTCATTACGCCTTATCAAAATTACCTATTTACTTGCTTATCTCATTTCAACTGCAAGTTTCTTAAGGGTACAAACTGTGTCTTGTTCAAATTGATATTTTCAGCACCTAACATAGTGTCTGCCAAATCTTAGGCGCTCAGCAAATATTTGCTGAATGAGTATATAAGTGAATGAATATTTCTAGCTGTCATTTAGCCTATAATATTAGAGATGAGGGGGATTTTAGAAGTCCAAAAATTCCTTATTTCACAGACTAGGAAATTGTGGACCCAGAAATTAACGTCAGCTAGCAAACATCTGAGCAGACACCATGAGTAAGGCACTATGATAAACGCTGCAGGAGACAAAAGGAAGACATGATGTTTGGACATTTTATTAAGGTGTTAGTCACCTTATGCAAGATGGATAGAAAGGAGGAAAAAAGGTGAAACAGGGTCCTGGTGTGAGCTCTGAATTAGGGTGATGACTGCGGGGAGAGAAAAGGGAAGATGTGAAAGACGTCACAGAGATAAAGAACAGAACCTGGTTAACAATCACATCTTTGTCATTTACATACCAGGTTTTATTTTCATAACCACCGGCTTTCGGTTTTTATCCCTCATTTGTCTGATATCCAACAGATCGTGAGGATTGCCATTATGCCTGGGCCAGCAATAGACAAATATTCGAGACCCGCTGCTACCACAGTCCACCACGATACCATAGTTCACATTGGGGTTATTGGTGTCTGTAGCTTCAATGTCAGTAACTCGTGCCAAGTACCTTGTTTAGAAAAACAAATATGCACTTTTATTGAGACAGAGAAGATCAACCTAAACCTAACAGAGCAAATTCAATAAATAAATACCGAGTCAGTGATTTCTAAGCTGTGCAGTAGCACTGCTATCACATTTTTACAAATGTCAAGTGATTAGGTTCAGAAGAAAACAAAACAAGTGATAGTGATAAAGATAATCTAAATCAGATATGCACTCATTATTCCATAAAAGATGTTCTGAAAAGTAAAACTATTTCCAAACTATCAACATAAACTGAAAAATCAGCTTAGAAGATATTGGAGAAGCTAATGTTTAAATCCCCTTATGATGTGGATTTGGTGGTTAATGATTAAACAGTTTCTAACAGTTTAATTTTTCATGCCGTGCTTGCTGTATTCAGTACGGCATCTGTTTTTACAGCCACAGGCTACTTAAATTCCAACCTAATCCCAGTCTTGAAGCCATGAAATCAAGTTGTGGCATCCTATCGAGAAAACAAATGCTCATTTCTCTCACCTTTGAAACTTCTTGTCTCTGGATAGCCGCCCATATTTACTTCGGATTATGACAACCGAAAAGTATAAAAGTGAAACAGCAGCAGCTAGAATGCTAATAACAATAATTTGGCGTAAGTTTGTATTCAGAATTCGAGGACACCCCACTGGAGAGATGCTAAAATGCCAGGAAGCAGGAAAAAGACAGGAGATGCCGATCCTGAAATTTTGAAAAACAGATTTTAAAGCAGTCTGATTCAAAGAGGCCTCCCCTCACCTAACCTGATCTGAAAGTAAGACATTTAGTTTGAGCTGCTCCTATTTCCCTGCTGGTAGGTGCCTGTGTACCAGCATCTCCCATATTACTACGTTGCTATATAACCCATTATTGTAAAATTATAGGAATGAGAATTAAGCCCTGATGGTTATGACACTTCTATGGTTTCCCTCTTTCTTGAGAGTATTATGTAGATTTTTATTTGTACCCTATTTTGTTCTAAAAAAAGAACTAGGAGCAGTTTCCAAGAATAAGTTCAATAAGATAAATACTTAAATCTATAATGAAATCAGGTTTAAGGATGATGAAACCAAAAGACAATTTAGTACACAGAAGTGCATGTAATAAAGTAGGCCTTCAAAGGTAGTTGAGCATTCTAGTGGCCCAAACCTTGTCCATTAGATTAGAAACATACAGTCATGTGCGGCATAATGACGTTTTGGCTTCGATCAACAACGGACCGCATACATAATGGTGGTCCCATAAGATTATAATGAAGCTGAAAAATTCCTATTGCCTAGTGATGTTGTACCATCCATCATAGTGCAACACATGACTCATGTGTATGTGGTGATCCCAGTGTAAACAAGCCTGCTAGTCATAAAGAAGTATATAGCACATACAATTATGTACAGTATACAACACTGGGTAATGATAATAAATGACTGTTCCTGGTTTATGTATTTACTATACTTTTTATCGTTACTTTAGATAAAGTTTGCTGTAAAACAGTACGCTGTGTTATGCCGGTGGCAGCCTCGGTTTACCTCATCTCTTGATTGCATTATTTTTCTCTTGTGCTTGAATTAATCTAGTGATGTCTGTACAGTAACATGCTGTACAGGTTTGTAGCCTAGGAGCAGCAGACTATGCCATACAGCCTGGGTGTGTAGTAGGTGATACCATCTAGGTTTGTGTAAGTGCACTCTATGGTGTTCACACGAGGAAACTGTCTAACAATGCATTTCTCAGAACATATCCCATTTTTAAGCAGCACATGACTGTAAATAGCTCGGAGGAGTAAGATTTTCTTAACACTGGATCCCAAGGCACATTTCTCCCTGATGAAGAAAACAGTATCTTTAACAATATCCCCATAATAAAGTCAATAAATGAGTTTTATATGTCCTGTGCTTTTAGAAATATTTCTGAGACATTTTTGCAAATAAATACTTTTCTTCTTAGTTTATGTGAGGAAGGAGAGATTATTATTAGGCTTTAAAAAAAAGCCTTTAGGATAAATGTTATTGTTTTACAGTTAATTTCTAGTCTTCCCTTTAAAGAGTGCTTCATGGACTAAGGTATCTCACAGAAGGGGGAGGTATCCTGCTAATCCAATGGAATTTTCTATTTGTAGTTTCTAGTCTCCCTGTGGGTTCTTGGGCCAGTCAGTGGAATTTATCATGCCCTCCCCATGCCTCCAAGGTTTAGAGACGGTTATCTGGTGCTTACTACAACCCTCCCAGGTTCCAACGTGCATGCCCTTTACCATAAACTGCATTAACCCCTGTAAAATCCACCTGGCATTATCACTTTCTGTCACTGGCAGGCGCCCCTTGGGGCCATTGAAGAACAAAGGTGTCAAACAGAAATGTAGCACAAATTTGAACACTTTTCACCTGAGATTTAGATTTTTTCCCTCTCAAGAGCTGTTTCTGTGGCACCAAAATCTTGGGTTTTATAGTACTAGTGATTAGGCACCATCACTTACCTCCCCATGCTGAAAGGTCAGAGGTCAGGCAATGTTCGGAGAGTCAGTCTTCACACACCATTATAGAAACAATGGGGTCCTCCTGGAGTTACAGCCCTCCTGTTCCAGGAAGTGAGAAAAATCACAATGATGGCACAATCCAAGAACACGTTTAAGTTCTTTATCAACTGGGTGTTTAAATCCAACCACACATAATCTGGTACATGATCCTTGCACTGTAGCTGTCAGAAGGGTTTATTTTGAGCATATAGCGTCTGTATTAGCACTGATCTAGTCCCTGTCTATCTTGCTAGTCTTATCCCCTGACTGATATGGACCCCATGCTCCAGCTATATTAAACACAAGCTGCAGGTCACTGAAATGCCCCACATCCTCTGCATTTGTAGACTGCCTCTTTTGGTCCACCTGTTGGCGTTCCTATGGAATCCTTATGACTCAGGTCAAGCATGATTTCTCTGTGAGGACTTGCCGAATCCTTACATCCCCAAAGTATTTGCTCACCACCGTGGTGGGCTACAGTGTTATACTTGGGGTTGACTTTCTTATCACATGGCAAGCCCCTCATTGGCAGGGACAGCCACTTATTCTTCTGTTTCCCCAGTGACCCAGTGCCTGCCACACAGTGATGAGCATCCATTGCTCGTTTCATGGATGGCTGGGAATGGGAGATACAAAGATGAGTCAGACAGATTCAGCCCTTAAAGAATTTATAATGCAGTAGAGGGGAACACACACACACACACACACACACACACACACACACACACACACACAGTGTTAATAATGCCTACCTGACAAAGGGGAAGAAACCACTTTACGTATTTAGTTCAGGTTTGAATATGGTGTTCTCATTGTACCATATACCCCAAACAGGACAAACAATATTTGCGATTGAAAAGTTTAAGCAAAAAAGGAAAAATACGTCAATTACGTAGGTGTTTAAATGAATTTTAATGTGTTTTTATAAAGTAGCTATCTACCTTTTAGCATTTGAATATAGTGAGATTACATTACACCTTTATTAGCATTCCAATGGCTCAAAGATTTAAATATTAAAAATATCCATAAAAGTATAAGATGAAAATGTAGGTGTGTATTTACATAATATTGGAATGGGTAAGGCTTTTCTACAATGACAACAATGTCTCAAACCATAAAGGAAAGAAAATACGTATACACATGAGTTTAAGATTTCTGAATGTTTTTTTAAAAATCCCTTCACCAAAACATGAGGCTTGGGAAAATTACTTGTAACATGCATGACAAAAGGTAAAAATATCCCTTAGATATAAAAAGTTCATAAAATAAATACATAAGAGAATCACTGAATAGAAAAACGAGCAACAATAATTGGAAATTAACTTATTAAGAAATACAAATGGCTGATAAAAATAACATCCTTAGTACTCAGAAAAGTATAAATAAAAACAAGACTTCATCACTATCAGATTGGCAGAGATTAAAGTCTGAAGATACTTTGCTAGCAAGGGGGAGGGGAAAATTCGGTCATGAATACTGTTGGGGAGAATCTAAATAGGTATTAACCTTCTGGGGGGCAGAAGGGTAATGGATATGAAAAAATTTTAACATGCTTACCCTCTGTTCAACCTATCATACTTCCAGAAATTCATCCTTAGGAAAACAGGGTAAATTCACTAAAATATGTATAAAGGTGTTGATCATAGTATTGTGTATAAGAGCAAAACATTGTTACTAAAGTAATGTGCATTACAGGGACTGGGTTAAATGAAACATGGTCTATTTATGCAATGGATACAATGTGACTATTAAAGGTGATGATGCAGATCTATATTGACATGAAAGATGTCCATGATTTAAAAAGTGAAAAAAGCTACATCATGTATGGGGGGGGGAGGGGGAATGGTGGTTAGTAGTGAGATAATGGATCGTCTTTATTTTCTTCCCTAGGCGTGCCTGTATTTCTTAAAGGGCACATATTAATTCTACCATCAGAACAAACAACAGAACTATTTTTAACAGCTACCTTTGACTGATAGCTCCAGTTTCCAGCATCAAATCCTCTTCTGGATATATCAAGAAACCCCATCTTAAAAACGCTTCATCACAAAGGAATTCCAATCTGAACATTTTTAAAAATTGACAATTATGTGATAGCTGAACTAACAATGAAAGAAAAAAGTGTTTTAGTTAACAGCTTAAAGTCAAGGTCCTTGGGGAAAGAAAGGCCTTTAATGATTCAATGATGATTGCAAAGAAGGGTATACAAAGGGTACAGAGGAGAAACAAACCTGACTCCAGATTTCAAGGAGTTTGCAGATTGGTTGCTGACAAAAAACTAATATTGAGGAAAATAAAGAGCATAACAAAAGGAAATGTTAAATTAACTGGACTATATGAGTTCAGAGAAGAGCACTATGAAGGCTGGTTAACAGGAAAAGATTCCTAGAGGTGGGGGGCAGACTTGGGATGAGGGAGAACAGAAAATACATTTCAAAAGAGAAGATGCACTATTAGAATGATCATAGCAAAGTGTCTTGCCTTAGAACTTATTTTTTAGATATGTGAAGAATTCAATAAAAAGGATAAATAGATATTGACTTTTATTTAGGACAAAAGTATGGCTAAATATTACCAAGCAGTCAACAATATGGTAATTTGATCTTAAAATCTAAACTCCAATTGTATTTGCAGCTAAGAGTCTTTGCACCAGAGTTTAGGAAGGCAAACTCTTAGTACATAAAACTGTCACATTTTTAAAAGGCACTAAATTGTGTTAGACCTAACATCAGAGAGATGCATTCACGTTCATGATTTCAGCTAGTCAGGCCCTCAGCTGAACATTCTTTAGTAAAGCCCATCCTGGTCCTGGGTCAATGTCTTTGTCAGTCTCTCCCTGATGGTTCGAAGAAAACCAGTGAAAACACAATATAAATCAATTGCAAAGTGAAATGGATCCTGTGGTGAAAAATGCAGGATGCAATGAAGCAGACAGCAAATTCTCAAATCACATGCAAACAAAATCACAGACAAATGAGACTCTGGAAGAGCTAGATCTCTGAGTAAGAAAAGGTAAGATGACATGAAGAGTGCTTCAAAAAAGAATGATATGAATATCAAAGGATTACAAGAGGACCTTGAAAAATCAAAGCCCACCAACACTTAAGCAGAATTTTGTAGGAAATAACTATCTTTGAGAGATAGTGAGAGAGGCCAAAGTGAAGTGAAGGATGCTATGTGGCACTCAGTGGTCGGAACAACACATCAACAGAATTTGATTCATTCTTTAAGAAGAATGCATGTAGTTGCATTTATGACCTACATTTCCTTCAAAATTTATTTTTAAATTTAAAATTTTATTTTTCATTATCAACTCCTACTGAAACCTTTTTCTACCTTCACTATTCATTTGCAAAATTCTGGTTCTCATTTTAAATGATCTTTTTCTGGTCACACTTTTCTGCATCACCTCTGTAGTTTTCCAAATCTGCAACTCTGACTTTCTTCAAGTTCCAGTTCCACCTCTGACTTTCTTTAAGTTCCAATTCCACATCCTGAGTTTATTGATGACACCCTGTTACTGCAAACTCATTTAGTCGAAGTCTGTGGTCACAATATTTTGACACAAATTAATACCACTTTCCAAATGTCCAAGTCTAAGACTGGGGTCACTTGTCTCTTAACTTCTATTCCCACTCACCTACTTGTAGACCTATGATTACTACCTGAAGACAGCTCCCAAGGCAGGTCACCCACCTTCTGCCTTCACTGTGAACAACACTCTTCAGAAACACCTATTTTTTGTAAAACACTACCTTCAAAATATAACCAGCTTAAGAAACTTCTGGAGCCTCTGGGTCAACACCAGTTTCCCTGTGTGCTATCTGAAACCTCAATTCATCAACTGATCACATCTTATTTCACCAACATGTTGTCTCCTTGCCCCAGATAGCATCTTTCTGCTGCAGTGAGCAGAGGTGTCTCTTCTCCCCAGCTACACATTTCTCATTCTTGCCTCAGGCCTTCACCAATGGCATTTCCTTTAAAACGTCCTGCTCTCGATACTGCACTTCTTTAAAGGCACAGGTCAATACTTTTCTTCGTCAAGATTGAACTTGTTACACTTTCTAATGTTTTCCCGGACTATGAATCTTCGCTTTATTTATTTAAAAAAAACCCATGCTGAATAAATATGTAGAGAATAAAAATATAATATAGATAAAAATATAAAGCCTTAGATGAACTCTCATTTCTGTTTCTTCTTTCTAGACTATATACACAAGGGTTGAGATCATGTATCCCTACTAGGGCTAGAAGAATGTAAACCACAGATTCAAAATGCAACAAATACAAGTGATGATAAATCAATGTTAAGATAAACACAGAAATAAACAAACTACTTAAATTAGTATCCATTTTATAATTACTAATGTATCAAACAATTAACAAACTGATACAAAGACAAGAGAACATCAACTATAAGAGAACACAAAAAGTATGACTTCCTTAGTCCTCTCCAAGACTAGAAAATTAGGTATTTTCATAACACAAAGCAGGGCACAGTCAAGACTGCAGTGTGAAATTAAAGTAGGGTTTTCAGTCACTAATTTAGAATTCTCTAATAACGTCTCATTTATCTTCTGGCACAGAAGTTCCTGAATTGTAAAGCATCTCTTTTCTTTCCTAACAGTGACAAATATTCTCTGAAAATTCTCTGCACCAGTGTTCCTCTAACTGGGTTTTGGGACACATTGCAGAGAATGAGAGAGCTATCCCTTTAAAAGGTGTCCACTCACTATCAAGTCTGAGAAACACTGCCCTCACCATGACTTTATCGCCCAATTAGCTCCATTTTTTTCAAGGAGAAATGTCAAGCATGAAATTTAGCACAAGCAGAGCAAAGGAACAACGATGCCGATCGTGTAAATGTCATGAGAAGGCGGCAGGCGAGAAATACTGGGTCCTAAGGGCAGCATCCCTTCTCCCCGGCCGGGTTCCGCGTCAGTGTGGGCTGGATCCGCCCACACTACGTGTGAGAGGGAAAATCCAGCGTGGTCACCGCTGCCCACGCGACTGCACGGCTGCCAGGCTTCTCCTGCCAGGGGCTGGGGGAGAGCACCTGCCGCCCGGGGTCATGGGCGCTGACGGCTGGCGCGCCCGGATGTGGCCGCGCAGCTGGGCTGCACCGACTCCCGGGAAGACCTATGGCAGGCGCGGGGAGGCTCGCAGGCAAGGGGCTTGTCCGCAGCCGTCGCCGCCCCGCCGGGCCTCGCGGTCCAACTGTCTCCGCCCGGGCTGGCCGCTTCGGTCGCCTGCCCTCCCCTCGTCCGCGCCGGGAAGGCCTCCTCACCTGCTCGGCAGCGCTCGATCCCGCGGCAGGGACTCCCAGGAGCGGGGAGCCGCGAGCGGAGCGCATCACGGCTACCGCGGCGAGACGGCGGCGGTAATACGGACCCCGCTCCCCCGAAGCTCCGCACCTTCCCGGGAGCCGCACCTCCTCCCGGCCTCGCCCGCGTTGCGTCACCGCCGCGCCGGGAGCGCGCACGCCACGGGGCGGGGCCTGCGTCCGGGGGCGGGGCCTGCGCTAGGATGACAGGCATCGAGTGCGGAGCTGTCATGTGTAACCCTGTGGGCGCCCCTCTGCGCTGTGAGTGCCAAAAGTGAGAGTGGTGTCACAGAAGTAACCAGTACTGTGGTTTGGTCACCGTCCGTCCTAGCCTGCCTGGTTGTCAGCGAGCTGCAGTGTGCTAATGACACCGCAGTTTATCTCTCCTTTGTGCTCCTAAGGGTTATGGAAAAACAACATTAGAAAAATCTAACAAGCACTAGGCATTTTTGCTCAACTTGAAAGTTGAAATTTTTACAACTTTGCCAGTAGGTATCCCTATTTTACAGATGAGGAAACTAAGTCTCAAACTCATTCAGTGAATCTCTTAAAGTCCACATAGTAAGAGTCAGGATTTCATCCTTGCCAAAAGTTACGTATATCAGCGCTTATTCTGGGGGAGACAGGCGGCCCCTAACGCAATGGTCATGAGAAGAACTAGTAAGGTGAACAGCACCGGTTCCTGAGATTGACCCCATGACCTGATACTTAGCTCAAGATTCCTCTCTCCAGCTTGACAAAAAACCCCAAAAACAAACCAACAAAAACTGCCTCAAAGTCACAGAGCTGAAGAGAACTTGGGAATCATGGCTTCTATCCTTTCCGCGGGGTTTTCTTTGTTTTTAAACAGGTGAATACACTGCTTTCCAGAAAAAGGAAGTGACCAGTCAGTCTAGCTACTGTAAAAAACGTTTACTCCGTTACTTTTGTCAAGTAAAACAAGCTTGGACAGAACTAGTAATTATACATTTTAAGCAGCATCCTTCTTGGTCTAGCACCAGCTTGGGGCATCTCCTCCTTGTGGTAATGTTTCAATTCTGGATTCAGGTACTGGTCATAGAAGAAGGCTAGCAGTGAGGAGCTTTGTGCTTTAGAAGTAAATATTGTCTTTTTGCTATTGCTCCGCGTTACGATCATAAAACCACAGATTATTCCAGCCAAAGGGACTGCAGGAATTGCCTCGTCCAAACCATCTCCTAGGAACCTGGAACCCAGAGAGGTTGGGTGACTTGTGCAGAATCCCCTGGAGGCAGTGAGGAAAGAAGAACCAATGGTTCTGACTTCTACTTAAGTGCTCTTTTATCGCTTTGTTGCTATATTAAAAAAATCAGTGACCAGTTTGGATAGCATACACATTAGAAACCTCTGTGACTTATGCCGTCTCATAGCTAGCTTTGAGAAGCTGAAGTAGCTAGCCACTAATATAATATAACTTTAGGTCCCGGCTCCTTCAAAACTGTGTGCCCTTCAATGTCCTTACCATTTGAGGTCCTGGTTTAGCTTATGGTAGCCTCTTGTAAGGAGGCCTTCACTAAAATGCCAGACTAATGTTATTACATCATCAGTATTTCCTGATAATTCATATATAATAATGATGTGATAAGAGCTAAGAAAGAAAAGTGTGAAAACATGTAACATTGTGCATTCATTTCCTAGGTCTGCCATAACGAATTACCCCAAACTGGGTGGCTTAAAACAACAGCATTATAAACTTTCACAGTTCTAGAGGCCAGAAGTCTGAAATCAAGGTGTTGGTAGGGATGCGCTGTCTCTGAAGACTCTAGGGGAGGATCCTCCCTTGCTTTTTAGTTTCTAGTAGTTGCTTGCAATCTTCAGCATTTCTTGGTTTGTAGATGCATCACTCTAATTTCTGCCTCTGTTGTCACATGGCGTTCTCCTGTGTGTCTCTGTGTCCACATTTCCTTCTTATTATAAGGAACTCAGTTATATTCAATTTAGAGCCCACTCTAATCCAATATGATCTCTTCTTAATGTAATTACATCTGCAAAGACCCTATTTTCAAATAAGGTCCTGTTCACAGGCTCTGGGTGGACGTGAACTTTTGGGGGGATACTATTCATCCCAATACATGAGAGGACCATCCCAGTCTGAGTCATCAGTGAAGGCTTCTTTGAGGAAGTGATGCTTGAGTTCACACCCATAAGATGAATAGGAATTAACCAGAAGAAGGATGAAGTCTGGGTCTATATGAAGGACCAGTGCTTCAGGCAGTGGAAACAACAAAGAGGTTCTGAAGGTAGAAAGAACACCACTGTTAGAATGATCCATCAACTTATTCTCACTTATCAACAAGAGAAACAAAAAAACTGAGCTGATAGGAGATAACACCTAATGAGTACTTTCTTCCAGGCACAGTTCTAAGGGCATTAGAAAACATTTCAAATAGAATGATAATGAGGATACATCAAAATTCATGGGATGCAGCTAAAGCATACTTACCACGAAATATATAGCTTTAAAAGCTTATTTTAGCTAAGGAAAAAAAAGTTTGAAATCAATTATCTAAGCATGTACCTTAAGAAGTTAGGATACGAAAAGCAAATTAATCCCAAAGTGAGTAGAAGAAAGGAAACAATTTAAAAATATAAGTTAGACCAAGTTAACAAAGCCACAAGTTAGTTCCTTGAAAATATTAATAAAATAAACTCCTAATGAGAAATGATCAGGAAAAATAAAACACAATTAGCCAATATCAAGAATAAAAGAAGAAACAACCCTAGAGATTCTACAAAAATTAAAAGAATAATAAGAAAATATTATGAACAACTTTATGCTGATAATTTCAATAATTTTGATGAAGTGGAAAAATTCTTTGAAAAACATAATTTCCCAAATTTAACACAAGAAATAGAACATCTAAACAGCCCTATATATTTTAAGGCCCCCAAAAGAAAATTTCAGACCAAATGGTTTCACTGGTAAATTTTATCAAGCTTTTAAGAAGAAATCATACCAATCTGACATACAGTCTTTTGGAGAAATAGAGGAGGAGGGAACTCTTCCTAACTCACAATATAAGGTCAGAAAAATCCCGATACCAAGAAGTAAAAGGGAAAGAAAATTATATATCAATATCCTTTATGAACACAGATGCAAAAATTCTAAAAAAATATTAGCCAATTGAATCCAGTAATATCTACAAGTAAGACAGCTTGCTTAACCAAGTGGGATTTTTGCAAGAAATGCAAGGTTGGTTCAATATTTTAAAATCAATCCATGTCATTCACTACATAAACAGAATTAAAAAGACAATTCATATGATCCATATGATCTCAATCAGTATAGAGAAAACATTTGACAAAATTCAACATTTGTGATTTAAACAAAAAAAGCTCTCACAACTATAAAGGGAATGATCTTCCTCAGTTTAATGGAGTATCTATAAAAGAACCAAAGCTAACGTGGTTGCAAGATCAAAGTACCTCATCACATGTTGGGTATTTTAAAAGTATTACATGAAAGTTTGAAAAAGAATGTGACATCTGGACTGCAGAAACCATCTTGAAGCCATGAGGCAACAGTAATCCAAATAAGAAGCCAATACTAAATATGATAAAATGGAAAGATAGAGTTACTTGTGCCCATCATGGCATCACTAAACCACTGAACTAATGCCAGCCACTGGATCTTTTGTTATGAGAGAACAATAAAGCCTTTATTCATTTAAATTACTTTTGGCCGGATATTCCATTACTTGCTGTTAGGGCTTTCAAAATATTTGTTGACTGGTTGATTGAAAACTTGAAGGGACCATGTGATGTCTTATTTCCCAGCTGACTTTCTTCAGTTAGCTTAGGTTTCATTTGTATTTTACAGATGAGACAGCTGAGGTCTGAGAGGCCAAATGACTTGCTCAATCAAGTTCCTAAAACTGGAAGAGAGACAGGATTATTGACTGTGAAGATACCAAACTGGGAGGTAGAAACCTGAATCCTAATCCCTGCTATGCTACTAACTGACAGTGTAAGCTTAGAACATTTAGTTTACCTTATTGGTCCTCACCATCCATATACAATTTTAAAAGGGAGTGAGGAGGTGGTTAAGTTGACCTCTAAACTCCTTTCCAGGTCTAAAATCCATGATTTCGAGGAGACAAAAGAGAAAACTAGGAATAAGTTATTTCCCTTCCTCCTTCTGTCTTCCCCTCTCTTCTTCCTCTTCCTCCTCCTCCTCTCTTTCTCCTTCTTATGAAATCAAACATAAGCTAGAAGAGCCCTTTCTTTTCTCTTTTGTTTTCATTGAACTCCAGTTTCCTTTAAAACTGTGCATGTGGAAACCTTGATGAATGGATTATGGCAGGTGAACAACCACTAGTATTTAAAATCCAGACAGGATTTCTTTTTAATTATCTTTTTGGAAAACCCTCCAATGTGGCAAATGCCTTGAATTCTGCAGGCTTTATTCTCCAAATGGTTTAACACATTATGCCAGGGGGCCTAAATTGGCTACACTGTCCCTCCTGGTAGTGTGGGTGCTGGGGAAGGGAGGTAACTGAGACACCGGATGTCACAGAAACAAAAGAATCGAGTGGCCCTTGGAAATAATGAGTCCTATTGCCCTCCCCTAGTCCTGTTTGACTTCCAGTGCATTCATGCACAGACTAGCTTTTGAGCCTCTTAGCTAATAATCATATATATTTATACAACATTTGTCTTCGAGGAGATCATAGCACTTCACAGACATGACCTCATTTTATGAGCCCAGCATTCCTAAGGCAGGGAACGGGCCAAGAGAACTCTTATTTTATGGTGTTTTGCCATGGGGAAAAAGCCTTGAGATTAAGAAAGGGCACGAGATTTGTTTAAAGCAACACCAACATTTAGAGGTTTTTTTGTTCAACCTTTTCTCATCATAACAGTGTGATCAACTGTACCCTAAATAGGTCATATGGGATATGGATCATTAAACACACACACACACACACACACACACACACACACACACACACACACACACACACACACACACACTCCAGTAGGGAGTGGACATGGTTGTTTTTGCTGCTCAAGACCCATCCTTCTGATTTTGGTAACAGTACCTCAGATTTCTAAAGGAATATGCCTATCTCACACTCAAGTCTATTTTGGTCAGTAAATATGACCCTGGCTCGGTTGAGCAGAGT